GACTCAAAGAAATCAACTACATATCGTCTTGGTGTGTCATTTTGGATATCAGATGTGCAAGAAAGTCAGTTCAAAATTTTAACCAGCAAAAAGAGTAATGAACCTTACCTAGTCCAAGTTAAAGATGCAATGTTATTCAACAGCAAACTCCTTAAAATATTTCGCGAAAAATAATGACGAATATTGTTTAATATTCATTCTTTTGACACAGGGGCTTCAAGAATTGGTGGATTTTAAAAATGCTTAAAATGACAAAATTATTTGAAATGTCACTCATTCGATACCCCCACTTTTCGGCACGATTGTTTTCTTTTTTACAAAATAAAAATTCTACGACGATTGGGTAATTTTTAAGGCCAAAAAAAGGAAATTCATGCACAAATTCAGGTTTAGATTCAAGAAACTAGAGTTGTACGATATTTTTCTCGTTTTTTTTTTTTGTATATACTTATATTTGATACTTCAAATTTAACACAAAAGATGATTATGTTTTAAACACTTAAATGGCTAAGTTTAACAATAAAATACGCACACAAAGACTTTTAGAAGAAAATCCTTTTTGTTTCATCAAAATATCCTGTCAAAAATGAACATGTCTTCCCCGTACTTGAATTCCCCGACACCGATTTTCCGTTTGCAGCAAACTTAATGACACCTTTCGTTAGAAATCCGGCAATCGCACAGCACAAGTGCGAACGGAAAAAACGTAATGAAAAAAAAGTAAACAAACGTGAAAGTAATATAATATAAACCGACACCAGACATGAGACTGATCAAGCTTTATTTAAAGTCAGTATATACAAAAGAATTGAAAACATAAGCTCTTAAGAGTTTTTATCAAAGATACCAGGCATATAATCTTGTACGCCAGATATCCGTTTCGTCTACACAAGACTCATCAGTGGCACTCAAGTCAAACCAATTGAAAGTCCAAATAAAAAACCAAGTTGAAGAGCATTTTAAAACCGACAAAACAAAAACACAATACATACGTATCGAAACGTACACACATACAATTAAGCATAGAATGCAAGAGTTCATATAATGCAAACATAAAACACAAAAGTTTTATATAGTAGCTTAAACGCACAATATTGAAGCAAGAACTTTTGGGGTAAAAACAAAGCAAAAGTAAAGGGGTTTGCAGCATAAAAAGAACACATAGAGATAAGTTTAATAACTAAAATAAGCAATAAATAGCAAAAGCTCTATAAGTAAATATATATGTATATTTATAAAGTTGCCATGCTGAAAACAAAGCATAAAACTAAAAACATGAGGATTAACTGGTTTGCAGGCGAAACACTGGCATGAGCTGCCAGAACAAGACTTTATTAAGATTTCGAATTCAATTAAAGGTAATTGCTAACGAAGCTCATCTGGCATCTCATTCCAAAGTTTAGCACCCGCATACATTAAAGATTGTATGTCATATGCTGTTGTTCTCATATGTGGTAGTTTTCCTGTATTTTGGTATCCAAAAGAGTATGAGTTTTCCTTTAAGTGTATTAAATCATGAAGAAAAACAGTACAATCTTTATCAATAATTTTGAAAATTTCAGTAGCCAATATTCTCATTCTTCTAATTTTTAAGCATGGTAATTAATATTTGCATAGTAGAAAACTTTAAAACTTGCTGAATAGTCTTCATAAAAAAGTAAAAATAACAAAAATACCAAAATCCAAGGAAAATTCAAAACGGAAAGTCCCTTTACAAACGGCAAAATCAAAAGCTCAAACACATCAAACGAATGGAAAACAATTGTCATATTCCTGACTTGGTACAGGCAGTTCATTATGTAAAAAATGGTGGATTAAACCTGGTTTTATAGCTCACTTAACCTCTTACTTGTATGACAGTCGCATAAAAGTTCCATTATCTTGACAACAATGTGTGAGCAAAACAAGCAAATAAATTAATCTCTCTTAAATTTTCTCAATTTTTTTTTTGTATTTACCTTTCCAAAAAAGTGCCAAATTAATGGGCAGTAATCAAAGTTTGACATTATCAAAGGATAATATATTGTTAATTTTCTAGTTTAAGTTTAGTCGGGTGTTTTCCAATTTTTGTAGTACATTTAGGTATTTTCTTGGATTTTTTATACATATTATAGAGACAAGTTCATTGAAATTAACTTTAAAATGTTTCGTAACTCATAGAAGTTTTACCTCATTTTCGCATTCAATTTCGATACCTTCTAAATTGAATTTTAAGTTTTTGTCTTTAGTCTTTTTATCATCTACAGCTATCATCTGAATTTTTCTGGATTAGCTTTCATCTTATCTATTGAGAAACAAATAATTAGGATTTTGCGTTCATTTTATAGAGTATTCATTTTTTTTTTGTCATTATCTGCGTATGAAAAAAATGTTGTCATCTCCATAATTATAGGGTTAACTTTTATGAATAAAGTAGAAAATATCATTTAAGAAAGTATTTGATAAGGTCGGTCCAAGTATAGCTCCTTGTGGCACCCCTTTAAACATTGACTGCCAGTACTGGAATTAGCACCTTCTTTAAAAAAATCTTTATTATTAGTTAAACAACTTTCCAAAAAGATTAAGAGGTGAGGTGGAGACACCATAAGATTTTAATTTTAGTCGAAGGAGGTCATTTGGTAGGCAATAAAAAGTCTTGGACAAGTCCATTAATATTGCTGCTTCATGTTTATTCTGATCTGAAGACTTTTTCCAGTCTTCTATTGTTTTTATCAAAGCTGTTTGGCATCCATATCCTTTTCGAAACGTTGACAGACAAAGGTGAAAATGAGTTAAAATATTCAATCAGTTGAGTTTCTATAGACTTCTCATTTTTTTTGAAACAATGGGCAACATACTTACAGGTCTATAGTTTCCTTTATCTATAGTGTTTGATTTTTATGAAGAGGTATAACTTTTCTTCCTTTACCTCCTTTAGTTTGTCTGGGAAAACAGCTGATTAAAATGATTTATTTGTCAAGTTGATAATTAATTATTTCATTGTCTTCACATAAGATAAAGTCTTTTGAATAATGTTTGATTGTTGGCCAAAAATCTTTGCTGTTTGGTCCTCCTATACTTCCTTCCATGAAGAATTTCTGATGGTTTTCTTTTCTGTTTTTGTGACTAAATTTCCTTGTTTTCTATGATATTCCCAATTGGCTTTACTTTTATATTTTTGATATTTGTTATATGCCATCCCTTTTTAAAAAGATATATTTCACTACGTAATGTTTTATTGATAAAAGGTGCTGGTTTAGAAAGAAATCGTTAAAATACACGAAATCAATTAATAACTGTCATGACAAAGTTTAATAAACAAATGGAAAAAAAGGAAAATAATAAAAATCAATTAATCATCACTCTATCATCTCACTTATTTCTCACGTGATCCATGATTCTTTGTTGATGGTTTATCAATGTCACGATTCGATAAACTTCGTCACCAAAACCCGAAAGTTAATTAGCAGCCAAAGTTTTCATTCATCAATCACCGAATAAATTTTTTTGTGTCGTTTATACGTTATTGATTCGGATAAAGTATGTACTTATAATTTAAGTCTAGTATATATGCAAGCATTCGTTCAATAATTTCCTTAACATTATAATCCCCCGAAACTCATTTAATATGACTTGAAGCATATTGCTTTAACTAAAATATCATTTCATGTATTCTGCAAGATTTAAGGGATGGCATCGGTGGAATAGATTCACCTTTCACAATTCGCAAGGACAACGTTCAATTCTTCCATAGTACATAAGTATATATGAGTATAACATGTTAAAAAATATCTGAAGTGCGTCTTCGACTTTATTTTTCTCCTTACATATATAAAATCTCTCTAAATATATAGGACGTCTATACATTTACCGCGCATTATTCATTTTTCATTATTCAAAATTCAATATGAATAATGAAATAGTTCATTATTCATTATTCATTATTCAACGTTTAGTAATGAATAATTAATAATGAAATAGTTTATGTTTCAGTATTCAAGTTGAAAAGTGAATAATGAAATAGATCATTTATTATTTGACTATGACTAAATTAATGAATGTGGGAAAATACCGAAATCCGGAACCCTTTCTCTGATATATATTTGAAAATGAAAATGAAAAACAAATGATAATTGTTATAATTACAATCCTTAAAAATCTACGATGTGAAGGTCAATCAAATGAATGAGAGATCAATAAAGATAAAAATAAATATAAAAAGACTGGTATTTCAACCATAAACTTCCTAAATAAGAGTATTCAATAAGAGCAAATTCTCGGATTATGGGTAATTCCAGGATACGGGCGTGTATTTCGTAAGAGAAAATTCTCGGACTAGTGGTAATTTCAGGATACGGGCATGACACAACTAAACGGAAAAAAAAACCACCCTGATTTTGATTGTACGGTGAGTCACAGTTTGAAATGGTTTTTATATTGCACGTGTTATATATATATATCTGTATATCAAACTCTCCAACTTTTGCATTAATTTATGAGGGGGGAAATACCAAAATTCGAAACCCTTTCCCTAATAAATGCTAAGTTTATGAAAAAATATAAGTGATGTACACGCATAAAAAAATTGATTATATCAATGTAAGGCGCCTGTTACCGTGAGTTTTCACAGATCATATAAATGGCTCTTATTTAGAAAAAGATACACTTTTACAAATGACGGTTCTTACCTCTGTATCAAACTTTCCAACTTTTGCATTAATTCATGAGGGGGAAAATACCAAAATTTGAAACCCTTTCCGTAATAAATGCTAAGTAAATGAAAGACAGTAAAATATTTGTGATGTACACACATAGAAATATTTGATTATATCAATGTAAGGCGCCTGTTATCGTGAGTTTTCACATACCTTATTTAGAAAAAAGATACACTTTTACAAATTACGGTTCTTACCTCTGTACGTTTGTACACTATACTTATGCTCAGTTGCAACTCGTATTGGTCCCCTAATCTCCGAAGAGTTAAAATGTCTAAATAAAACGTTCAAATGGGTATAGATTGATGAACAGTACATAAGTTTCTACATATACGGATATAAACGCCTTCGTATATGATAAACCTAAACCATAAGGTAAATATAACAGGAAACGAAATAATAATCGTTTATGAGAAATGTTATCAGTTATTCTAGTGTTTTTCTTTACTCTAGGATTCAAAGTATGAAATTAAATATATATATAGCATAGCAGTGTAATACGAGGCCTCTAATTATTACAACACAAGATGACATGAAATAAATTTGATAAAATAAAAAAAAAAAAAAATTGTGTGGGAAATAATAACAAATCTGATACAGGCAACGTTTTATCAACAAATATGTAGAACGGAAAGAGGAATAGAAATTAACTTAATATATCTTGAAAAGTTACAGTGTAACCGTACTTTTAGTATCTAAACCAAAATAGTTCATTTCATTGTCGTCGTCCGAGGTTTATTTGAACATTGACATTGACGAGTTAGTCCTATGTTTTGGTAAGTGGATTTTTTTGTTTAGTAAAACTACTAAGAGAAGTTCTCTTAATATAACTTAACTGTTTTACTTTGGAACAGCTCCCCTGCCCTTTTCACATTAATAATTTTAGAATTTGATTTATCATTTTATGCATTGTGCATTTTCCGTTTTTACTTATCTTTGCATGTCTTGTGTAAATATATTTCTTAAACCATATGATAACTTGCACAAATTGACAAAGTTAATAATAAAAATAACGAAACTATTAATATTAAATATGAAAATGTAAAATGCGTCGTCCGTTTTTTTTTTTTTCTTTTTTTTTAATCGATTTCAATCATATACCGAATGAAGATTCATAAAATGTGAATTAAAGCTTCTTTTAAATCACATTTTTTAACACATACTGTGTTTCTATGATAACCTTAAAATTGAATGTTTATGATAATTCTGTCAATTGATATAAAAGTGAAAAAAGGTTTGGTTAAATGTCAGAATCAAGTAGCAAGAGTGTTTGCGAATATGAACGAATGACATCGGAACTATGATATTTCTAATTTTAGTTTATTAGGAGGCGGCTAAAGCCCGCCTCCAGGTACGGGGTTTTCTCGCTGCATTGAAGACCCATTGATGGCCTTGGGCTGTTTTCTGCTCTTTGGTCGGGTTGTTGTCTCTTTGGCACATTCCCCGTTTCCATTCTCTATTCTATAGATGACAATGCATTATTTGTACGAAAATATTAATTGTTAAAGGAAATATTTGTAGGAATATCAGTAGTTTCATAACGATTGTATTATTAAACTTTGATACACGAATTGGAACTCCTTATTCAAGGAAATAATTAAAAGTCAAATCGTGTTAATTGATATATCTATATATTCTAATCTTAATGTGATTTTCTTCCTGCTCATTATTCTTTATACCAAACTTAAAAAGACATTTATCAGCTTGCTTATGTGTTAATGTGGTAGCTTAGAAATCTCCTAATTAAATCAATTGACTTCTTGAAACCTAAACGAATTTGATGATAACATGAAATAGGATACAAGTTCATATCTATTAAGATTGTTGTTTGCTAACAGTGAACAAATGTATAAGTTGGGAAACAAAGATCTTTGGAATACATTACATCAGTTTCAAATGACTATAAAAAAATATAGATTTAACCCTAAGTAGGGGTCATATCGAAATTTATCTTAGTAATACCTCCTATACATTTCTAGGAATATGATTGGTTAAAAGCAACCGCGTGGAGACCATGTATACTTCATATGGGGTTAGTAGGCAGGGCTTATTTCAATAATGGTTAGAAGTGGTGTTACGTCCCTTTGTAAAAACATCACGGTGTTGAGAAAAATCTGAAAGATTTCAACAACTGAAGAATCTGATGATGAACGATTGAAATAAATGCAGAAAACACATTAAAAGCTAACAAGTTGTTATTTTGCTTTGATAGGCCACTTGTCTAAAGCCACATGTCAAGATAGTTGGTAAGATAAATTCGTTACACAGTGTGCTAGTGACCCAATATGATATATATGGGTGAATAAATTCCATATATATATATCGTATTAGGTTAGCTCGAACCCCATATGGAATTTATTGACCCATATATATCGTATTAGGTCACTAGCATAGGAATTTACTGACCCCATATATATCGGATAAGGTCACTAACACACTATGTAACTAATAATATCATGGCAGTAGCTGACGATGACGTCAAAATTAATATTGCGATACAATAAGTATTTATGGAATACATCGGGTTTCTATGCTTATTGTTGAAAACTGTATATTGACCTGTTAGTCGTTTTTCCTTCTCTTTTTCCGTGTGTGTGTGTGTGTGTTTGGAATACTGTCTTTCATATCATGTTATTTATATCGGAATATCGATGTTCGTATTACTGTGATGAAACTTTCACCATGCATACGCCGAATTTATTAAATCCTTAATGACTGAAATATTTCTTCGTGTAAAAACATTTAATTGTCACATCATACATTATACTATGACATATATCGACACTCTTTCCAAAACTTCGTTTCTCTAACTTAAACAATGATAAATACATGAAATCAAGCAAACCATCCAGAACAAAACTGTGTAAAAAAGAGATAAGATAGCAGGAGAAAAAAAGGGGGGGGGGGGCAATCATAAGTATAAGTCTAACAAAAAAAAACAATACCGTGGCTAAAAAGAAAAACGACGAAAAGACTAACAACAACAACAAAAAACAAAAACTGAAGATTGAGAAAAACGAAGCCCATCAAAAACTGAGGTTGAATCCAAGAGCTTCGGAAAGGAAATCAGTTCCTGCTCCACTAGGGGTATCTGTAGTGTTGCTCGTGCAAGTGAAATAAATTTCCGGAGCATTCGGTAATGTCATAATCAAGGAAAAGAGGATGGGATTGTGGTTACTGCAAGTGGAACATATTATATGTGACACAGATATTCTATAACGTTCAACCAACTTATGATGGCGTCCGTAAAACTTTCGAAGGGATAATGCAAAGGGCCGATCTTTATTTGCTGGCAAGTGCGCGGTTTTGATCCAAGCTAAAGGCATCACTGTTACTTTGAGATGAAGAACAGCATTAAAGGCACTGTTTCTATGCTTTGTGTTTCTTAAGATTTATCGATAAAGTAATGGAAAAGAATGGTATGTCGAATCAATTCATGACGCAAAAACTATTCAGGTCAAAATATAGAGATTATAGAAAATTCCCAGTACTTTATGTTTTTACAATTATGGCGTATTTATTTTTGAGATATTTTTCATATGCGAACTTCTTTACTTCTCTCTTCCGGTCTGAATTTTCATCGAAATTGTACTGCAGTCCATTCGCACTATTTGGTGTAATCAGATCCTCCTTTACCAAATTATTTGACATAAATTTTGATAGACCCTGTGATGGCCTTAATGTGTGTATCGTTTCTGTATTTTACAGATTGTTGGGAAAATTTGCTTTTTATTTTCTGTGTTTTCTTGATATTACCCCGTTTATATGTTCTGTAATGTACAGGCGTAGCGTGATCGATAACTAGCAAAGAATTTCGACAAAACCGGTGCAAGGAGCAGTATTAAACTTGCAGTGAAGTCCAATTTCTTCTCCCATATAAAAGGCCTCACTGTGACTTTGCGATGCAGAACAACAATTAAATCGTTGATCATTTGCATTTGCAAAGTGTAAGTAGACATTTTGAACCAATACGATTTTTTAGCTCACCTGACCTGAAAGGTCAAGTGAGCTTTTCTCATCACTTTGCGTCCGTCGTCCGTCGTCCTGCGTCCGTCGTCCGTCGTCCGTCGTCCGTCGTCCGTAAACTTTTACAAAAATCTTCTCCTCTGAAACTACTGGGCCAAATTTAACCAAACTTGGCCACAATCATCATTGGGGTATCTAGTTTTAAAAATGTGTGGCGTGACCCGGTCAACCAACCAAGATGGCCGCCACGGCTAAAAATAGAACATAGGGGTAAAATGCAGTTTTTAGCTTATAACTCAAAAACCAAAGCATTAAGAGCAAATCTGACATGGGGTAAAATTGTTCATCAGGTCAAGATCTATCTGCCCTAAAATTTTCAGATGAATCGGACAACCCGTTATTGGGTTGCTGCCCCTGAATTGGTAATTTTAAGGAAATTTTGCTGTTTTTGGTTATTATCTTGAATATTATTATAGATAGAGATAAACTGTAAACAGCAATAATGTTCAGCAAAGTAAGATTTACAAATAAGTCAATATAACCGAAATGGTCAGTTGATCCCTTTAGGAGTAATTGCCCTTTATAGTCAATTTTTAACCATTTTTCGTAAATCTTAGTAATCTTTTACAAAAATCTTCTCCTCTGAAACAACTGGGCCAAATTAAACCAAACTTGGCCACAATCATCATTTGGTTATCTAGTTTTGAAAATATGTGCCGTGACCTGGTCAACCAACCAAGATGGCCGCCACGGCTAAAAATAGAACATAGGGGTAAAATTCAGTTTTTGGCTTTTAACTCAAAAACCAAAGCATTTAAAGCAAATCTGACATGAAGTAAAATTGTTTATCAGGTCAAGATCTATCTGCCCTGAAATTTTCAGATGAATCGGACAACCCGTTGTTGGGTTGCTGCCCCTGAATTGGTAATTTTAAGGTGATTTTGCTGTTTTTGGTTATTATCTTGAATATTATTATAGATAGAGATAAACTGTAAAAAACAATAAATGTCGGCAAAGTAAGATCTACAAATAAGTCAACATGACCGAAATTGTCAGTTGTCCCCTTTAGGAGTTATTGCCCTTTATAGTCAATTTTTAACCATTTTTTCGTAAATCTTAGTAATCTTTTACAAAAATCTTCTCCTCTGAAACTACTGGGCCAAGTTAATTATAGATAGAGATAATTGTAAGCAGGAAAAATGTTCAGTAAATTAAGATGTACAAACACATCACCATCACCAAAACACAATTTTGTCATGAATCCATCTGCGTCCTTTGTTTAATATTCACATAGACCAAGGTGAGCGACACAGGTTCTTTAGAGCCTCTAGTTTAAAACTAAATCCGTTGGAGGTGTACTGATTGGCATTTTAGTATTGTTTATTAATTAGTTCTTATTGGACTTTCAGTAATAGTGTCTGTACTCTTAAGATCGATACTTTTTTGTATTTTATCTTATTACTTAGTAAATATTTTTACCCTGAAACTTGACCGAATGTAACAAAGTTGACAATATGTAAAACGATTCAAACGAATAAAACCAATTGCCAATTGTATGACAAAACAATTAACGAATAACAATTATGACAGGCAGCAACCAGTGACAACCACTGTTTTACAGGCGCGATCTAAGTACTCGCAGAAAGCTAGTTCAAACCAAATTGTAATTTATTAATAAATCATATTCTCGAAGACTAGTTCGCCATATTTTATTTCGATTAAACATTAGCAAAAAAAAATATTATAAAAATTTCATATATAGTATTGCAAACAAATTCAACGTGTGATTTATTAGTTACTTGTTACCAAAGCAAATTATTCATGAAAGCCAATGTGACGTAATTCTAGTTTGGACCTTCGCCACTAAATACAATGCATCTACCGTCAAAAGATCATTTCAATATAATTTGTAGTTGCTTAGATCTCAACCTTGATGTACATGTCATGTTGTAAAAATGCGTGAAATTGTGAATTTTAGCATTTTCATCTTTTTATGTCGTGTTTGGTATCAATAGTCATTATTTCTTATGAGTAATTAAGTTTCTCAATATTTTTATTACGGAAGAAGTGAATCTTGTTCGGGAAACAAGATTTTGAACTATTTTCAAATAATTTTAGAAGAGACATTTATCAGTCGTGTTCGCGTTACTAGGAAATATTTATGGATTAAGATTAAGATTAATTCGTGAGAATACTTTTTGACAACAATGGTCATCAATGTAATTTATTTGTCAACACCCAAACTGTATATAGAGCGAATAATGTCTATTAACACTAAGTCTTAATTTAAACTGCTTTTGATATATTTTATTGTTTGGAAACTATTTGTTAAGTACCTTTTTCTATTTTTTCATTATTCAAAACGTTTCTATGATCATGTTTTATAAAGGTTAATTTTGAAACGAAAAAAAAAGGAGGTAGAGAAAAGAGAGAGAACCATGTGACGCATCGGTTCGCCCCGCTCTCGATCTGCGAGTAGCGGTGGGTTAATGTATGTTGCTTTAGGTTTCTACTCCCTCAGGCAAAGTTGACCTTAGATGGATTTGGCTATTTGTTTTAGGTATTTTTGTCATATAGCTCTTCAACTGTTTCGGTACTTATACATCCCTCGGATTTCAAATGTTTGGCTTTGAGCGTTCCTGATGAAGGTAAATCAAGAAAAGCTCTTCGGACGCATGAAATTATTAAACGTGTTGTTTTCAATTTTTTACATCACTGGGTCGATACCTCTGCTGGTGGACTATCAGTCCCGAGGGTATCATCAGCTCAGTAGTCAATTTACTTCGGTACTGACATGATTTATAACAAACTTTTCTAAAATTGTCCGTTTATAAATTTTGAAATTATAAAGAAACTAAGGTTTCAACTCCCTCAGGCAAAGTTGACCTTAGATGGATTTGGCTATTTGTTTTAGGTATTTTTGTCATATAGCTCTTCAACTGTTTCGGTACTTATACATCCCTCGGATTTCAAATGTTTGGCTTTGAGCGTTCCTGATGAAGGTAAATCCAGAAAAGCGCTTCGGACGCATGAAATTATTAAACGTGTTGTTTTCAATTTTTTTGCCATGATTACTGTTTTGTAAATATACTTTATGAACTGTGATTGTATATATGTTGGATGGAAAAATAAAGTATGTATCCAGTCTCGTGTATTGATTTACAACAACTTTCCAGTATGGACCCTCTGCCATCTGAAATAGGACTAAGTTTGTTGGATTGTAAAACACTGCTAATTATCTATGATGGAATGGATTTACCAAAAACGAAACACACAAACGAAACAAACACTGTTTATAATCAATTTTTTTAATTACGCCAAACAAGGATTTTTTAAGCATGTCATACAAAGCCATGTATGTGTAAAATAAAGACTAAGATAACATAATCCTATTGTGGACCTTCGTCATTTAGTATTACATCAACCGATGAAAGATCATTAAGCTGACCAAATCCATTCATGTGTAAAATGAAGGTCAAGTTAAACTAATTTTAGAGTGCACTTTCGTCATTAAAGGAATGCATCAATTGACAAAAGGCAATTCTTCTATGATATGCAGTTGCCTAGGTATGGTCATTATCTCATTAATTAACCAAAGCCATTCATACGTACAATGACGGTCAAAGTGACATAATTTAAGTAGGACCTTAGTTACTAAACATGATGCATCAACTTATATTATATAGTTTGTCTTATATAAAAAAAGAAGATGTGGTATGATTGCCAATGAGACAACTCTCCACAAGAGACGAAATGACACAGAAATTAACAACTATAGGTCCCCGTACGGCCTTCAACAATGAGCAAAGCCCATACCGCATAGTCAGCTATAAAAGGCCCCGAAATGGCAAATGTAAATCAAATCAAACGAGAAAACTAACTGCCTAATTTATGTACAAAATAATGAACGAAAAACAAATATGTAACACAGCAACAAACGACAACCACTGAATTACAGGCTCCTGACTTGGGACAGGCACATACAGAATGTGGCGGTGTTACACATGTTAGCGGACGCCCAACCCTCCCCTAACCTGGCACAGTGGTGTAACAGCACAACATAAGAACAAACTATAAAAATCAGTTGAAAAAGGCTTTACTCATCAGATGGTTACAAATAGAAATACATCGAACAAAAACACATAGTGGACGTGGACGGGTACTTGTACATCCCAACAATAAAATTACACTAAGTACAGATCTGAGAGTACTTGCAGTTACTGACAGCTAGTTCAAAGCCAATAACAACTAATAAAACAAATCATGCATCAAAGACTAAATTATCAATCAGTACACATCCAACAACCAATGAATTTAGTGTAAAGACGTCATAAACAATCGGAGAAAAACATGACCGTGTACAATGCCAAGATACAGGTATCGACAGATTGTAGAGCCATGAATGTGCATATATACATATATAAATACAATAATATTTAGTTTGCTTTTAATTTACTGATAACAAAATCAATATTAATACCAATAAAAACAATATTCAAAGATCTAATTACAGTGTTGAATTGGTAACCTTTTAGATTAAGTTTATTTAAAGGATCGATAAGTTTACCTGGATCATTTCTAAATTTCCGGGGTCGGTAAACAACATCTCCGTAAAAATGAGGAAGTGCTATCCCGTTTGAAAAAGTTTTTTACAGGTACAACCAAACTTCAAAACCAAATCTTTATATCTATGGAAGAATTTAACAAATGTTTTAAGTAATTTGTGGTAGCGAAATCCCTGACTTAATAATTTATCACTAATACATAGATTACGTTCATTAAAATCCAAAACGTCACAACAGACACGGGCATAACGAACGAGTTGTGATATATAAACACCGTAAGATGGTGCCAAAGGAACATCACCATCCAAAAAAGGAAAATTAACAATAGGGAACGAAAAATCGTCCCTTTTGTCGTAAATTTTAGTGTAGAGTTTCCCGTGTAAAACTGAAATATCTAAATCTAGGAAAGGACAATTATTACCGTTTATATTTGATTTATTTAAAGTAAATTTCGGCAGTATATTTAGAAAATTCTTGATTATTTAACGAAAAAATATCATCAAGATAACGGTAAGTGTTGTTGAATTTATCAATTAAATGCAATTTAGACGGGTCTTTACTGAGTTTGGTCATAAGATGTGATTGATAACAGTACAAAAACAAGTCTGCTATTAAAGGGGCGCAATTTGTGTTCATAGGAATACCTACAACCTGTCGATAAACTTTATTACCGAAACGTATATACATATTATCAAGGAGACAATTAACAGTTTCAGTCATCTTATCACACCTCCAGTAAGTATATCTAGCATATTTACCTTTCTCATTAGAGAAGAAAGCTTTAAATGAGTTGCAGCAAATATATTTGCATTCAGATTTACCAAACGACCATTTAATTAAAAAGGAAAACTTTTGTTTGCTAAGAATGTGTGAAAGTGTAGTGTAAAGAGTTGAAAAGTCAAAACTGTCAACAGAATCGAAAGGACCATCAAAAGCACATAATTTATCTAAAACATCCAAAGAATTTTTTAAACTCCAAAAATAGTTAATTCCACTATTTTCATATATTTTATTAGAAAAGTTAATGATAAGTTGTTTGATAGTAGTTAAGGAACTAGTTAAAAGCACTGAAAGATTTGTTGTAGAACACTTACTAGAGGCCGAGATGAAACGATATTTTACTGTTTTTTTGTGAAGTTTAGGTAACCAATACATAGTAGGGACCTTCAAAAGTTCAGAAGAAGCCTTAAGCTGTGATGTGGTTATGATATGTTTGTTTACTATATATATATGACTCTCTGTGGAGCGCACGGACTTGAATGTAGATGAATTTAAAATTTCATTCTTAAGAACGTCCGTGTAGTATTTCCCTACACGAGGCATTGGATTTGACGTCCCCATTTGAACTGGATGTGGCTGTCTATTTGTACATCCCGCATAGCCAACGGACACCCTACTTAAGAAAGGATCTTTCTGTCGTACCATATTCCTATACCCCATCTACCATTTGGGTAAGCGTTGGGCGAGGGGATAAAACAAGTATTATTACCTGTTATGGGCAGGAAAATCCATAAAACTCTATTACCTTAACTTGTCGTGGACATGTTAAAGAGGGGCACCCGTTTGACTGTGTGGGATGTATAAATGCGAAGACACGTCCAGTTGGAATTAAGACTCTTATTCGATACCCCGTTAAGGGAAAGTGCCAGACTATCTTGCACGTTAAAGAACATTTGCAATAACTCTTTGAGGGGTCTGTTGGTGACCTGTGGCATAGTAAAATCTGCCCTTTTCCAAGATACAATCATTTTCCAGAGAGAAGAAATTCCTGTCTTTCAGCCCGGTCGACCCACTAAGCTGAACTAACTTTATGATTTTTATTCTCATCCTGCAAATGCTTAAAAAATAGACATTTTGACGTTAGGCAAACAACAATTACTCAATCATGTAATTATTGTAAACAGTAATGCCATTTATAAAAGCCATGTCACGATAAGCAAATCGAAAAATCCAAGAGCACACTCTTCGGTTGGTTAATGAAGTACTCAGTCCGTTGACATCAATTCTATAACTTAACAGATTGGAGAAATATTGCTTTTATCATGTTTATCACATTTTTTTCGGAAATGAAATGAATGTCGACCGAAATTGTAATCATCAAACAATTTTAAAGGATCCAACAAAATTGTTGCTTTTTATTTTACAGTTTTTAGAACATCGCAGGACATAAGTTGCTTCTCAGTAGAATTTCAAAAAGATCAAAGCCTCAATTGATTAAGTGAATGACGAACGAGGACACGTACTACATGATAATTTAGGATACAACAGGAAAGTATTATTGTATCATCTAGATAGTAAGACACAAACAGACCATTTGTGTCATTTATGCAGACATTAATATTGTAAACCCAATGATCGATTTAAGTGGTATCACTTGTTTTATTTTGAAACGTTGAATGTCTGTAGTTAATTCTAGCGGTTACTCAATTCTTAATAGAATGAAACATATGGAGGCGATGTAAACCGATGACTAGATGTCTTACCTGAGACAGACAATAAACATGTCTAGTACAGTTAAGTGAAAGTGGTTTCTATACATAAATCATCATCTATATATCACAAAAGCTAACGATTGTCTTGTCAGAAACGAAATTTTTTTCTAGTCTTTTTTATGCATTTTTCAACAAGACAAATTGGTTTGAAATTCGACCAGATTAAAAAAAAAAGAATCACTATTACCCTCCCCCCACCACCTTGGAATGAGACTTTGGAGTAGTTTTATTTGCAAACGATTAAAGTAGCAAAAAAGAATTATCTAAACCATTGGGTGAAAGGAAAATGACAAGAATATGTTTTATTTCTATTGATTTGAAATCAGGACTTTCGTATTCGCCCCTTTTCTATTACCTGCATACCAGCTCAAATATTACTTTAATTATTATCAACAGTTTGAATTTGGAAATTTGATAGTGTTTTGTGCAAATTCTTAGATGTCATTATTACAGATTTTTGTTTAGTTTAAACATATTCTATTTGCTAAACATCAGCAAAATGGATGAGACACAAGTAAATCATATATATGAAGTCTTTTCATCTACATAGATTTTTGTTATATTGGCCACTGGATTTTATTTAGATTGATGAACTGAAAGATCGAACAATAAGGGTATTTTGGGTTGTTCTCAGTGGTAAATATTACTTCTGCAATAACGGCCATCGATAAACTTAAGGTTATATCTTAATTTAGCGGATTTTATCAAATGTTTCGGTTCAGGAGTTCTTGATGAAGGTAAACCCGTAAAAGCGCATTGGAAGCTTGAAATTTATAAAGTGTAATCATTTATATGAGGTTTACAATTTACTTGTTTTAGTCAGTAGATATGGATCGTGGTTTTGAGTGACTTTTAAAAGGGCGGATTCATATCCAGTTAAATAAAGGTATGCATATTAGAATTGTGATTTATAATAAAAAATTAAATCATGACCGTCTTATATATAAAAATAAGAAGATGTGGTATGATTGCCAATGAAACAACTCTCCAAAAGAGACCAAATGACACAGAAATTGACAACTATAAGTCACCGTACGGCTTTCAACAATGAGCAAAGCCCATACCTTATAGTCCGCTATAAAAGGCCCCGAAATGACAAATGTAAAACAATTCAAACGAGAAAACGAACGGCCTAACTTATTTACAAAATAATGGACATACAACAAATATGTTACACAGCAACAAACGACAACCACTGAATTATAGGCTCTTGACTTGGGACAGGCACATACAGAATGTGGTAGGGTTAAAGTCGTTTGAAGGCGCCAACCCTCACCCTTACATGGGACAGTGGTGTAACAGTACAACATAAGAACAAACTATAAAAATCAGTTGAAAAAGGCTGGTGATTGTTGGCGCCTGTTAAAACGTTTAAAACCGCTGCATTTTTATGCACCTGTTCTAAGTCAAGAGCCTGTTGTTCAGTGGTTGTCGTTTGTTGGTGTGATTCATAGGTGTTTCACGTTTCTCGTTTTTGATATAGATTAGACCGTTGGTTTTCTTGTTTGAATTGTTTTTCACTTGTAATTTTGGGGCCCTTTATAGCTTGCTGTTCGGTGTGAGCCAAGGCTCTGTGTTAAAGGCCGTACGTTGACCAATAATTGTTAACTTTTTATACATTGTGACCTGGATGGAGAGTTGTCTCATTGGCACTCATACCACATCTTAATTGATATTAACTCATCAGATGGATACAAATAGAAATACATCTGATAAAAACTCAGAGTGGACGTGGACCGGTACTTATACATCCCACAACAAAATGACACTAAGTACAGATCTGAGAGTACTCGCAGTACTGACAGCTAGTTCAAAAGCAATAACAACTGATAAAAAAAATTGTGCTTTGAAGACTTAAACATCAATCAGTACAAATCCAATATCCAATGGATTTAGAGTAAAGACGTCATAAACAGTCGGAGAAAAACATGACCTTGTGCAATGCCAAGATACAGGTATCGACAGATTGTAGAGGCATGAATGTGCATATGTATATAACAATAATACTTAGTTTGATTTCAATTTACTGATAACAAAATCAATATTAATACCAGTAAAAACAATATTCAAAGATCTAATTACAGTGTTGAATTGGTACCTTTTAGAATTAGTTTATTCAAAGTATCGATAAGTTTACCCAGATCGTTTCTAAATTTCTGGGCTCGGTAAACAACATCTCCGTAAAAATGAGGATATGCTATCCCGTTAGAAATAAGATTTCTACAGGTACAACCAAACTTTAAAACCAAATCTTTATATCTATGGAAGAATCTTGTAAAGGTATTAAGTATTAAGGTATTAAGTACCTTGTGGTAACAAAATCCCTGACTTAATAAGTTACCAGTATATATTACGTTCATTGAAATCTAAAACGTCACAACAGACACGGGCATAGCAAACGAGTTGTGATATATAAACATCGTAAGGTGGCGCCAAAGGAACATCACCGTCCAAAAATGGAAAATTAACAATAGGGAACGAAAAATCGTCCCTTTTGTCGTAAATTTTAGTGTAGAGTTCCCGTGTAAAACTGAAATATCTAAATCTAGGACAGTTAATACCGTTTATATTTGATTTATTTAAAGTAAATTCCTTTGGGTAAATTTCGGCAGTATATTTAGAAAATTCTTGATTATTTAACGAAAAAATATCATCAAGATAACGGTAAGTGTTGTTGAATTTATCAATTAAATGCAATTTAGACGGGTCTTTACTGAGTTTTGTCATAAACTGTGATTGATAACAGTACAAGAACAAGTCTGCTATTAAAGGGGCGCAATTTGTGCTCATAGGAATACTTACAACCTGTCGATAAACTTTATTGCCGAAACGTTTATAAATATTATCAAGGAGACAATTAACAGTTTCAGTCATCTCATCACACCTCCAGTAAGTATATCTAGCATATTTACCTTTCTCATTAGAGAAGAAAGCTTTAAATGAGTTGCAGCAAATATATTTGCATTCAGATTTACCAAACGACCATTTATTTAAATAGGAAAACTTTTGTTTGCTAAGAATGTGTGGAAGTGTAGTGTAAAGAGTTGAAAAGTCAAAACTGTCAACAGAATCGAAAGGACCATCAAAAGCACATCATTTATCTAAAACATCCAAAAAATTTTTAACACTCCAAAAATAGTTAATTCCACTATTTTCAAACATTTTATTAGGAAAGTTAATGATAAGTTGTTTGATAGTAGTTAAGGAACTAGTTAAAAGCACTGAAAGATTTGTTGTAGAACACTTACTAGAGGCCGAGATGAAACGATATTTTACTGGGTTTTTTTTGTGTAGTTTAGGTAACCAATACATAGTAGGGACCTTCAAATGTTCAGAAGAGGGCTTAAGCTGTGCTGCGGTTATGATATTTTTATTTACTATCACTCTCTGTGGAGCGCACGGACTTGAATGTAGAAGAATTTAATTTCATTCTTAAGAACGTCCGTGTAGTATTTACGGCATACCACCACCACATTGTTGGCTGCCTTGTCGGCCGGTACAAACACAAACCGCTTTGAAAGTACTTGAAGTTTGTTTCTTATTCTAGAAATAGGCGTATTATGTACTCTTTTATTTATTTCTGAAATATTTTCAAAATGTGATATTCAAATATCCACAACATTCATATATTTATTTAAATAAGAATCAAGAGATTTTTTATCAGATTTTTCCCGTTTACACCAATATTTACAATACGATGAAAGAGCGTCTTTTGTGACCTGACGACACTGTTTCCAATCCATTTTAGATGGAGGACGATATTTTGGTCCTTTTTTTTCAAAAAGTTTTTAACCTCTCGGTCTTGAACGATATTGAGATCCCCCGTAATAACATGGCCATAGGGGTCATATCTAAAATTTGACGATTCACAGTCTCAAGTTAGAGGAGTATTATTTTCTACATTGACGTCTGATGTAACTGACGTATAATTAGAAATTAAACTTCTGCTGTTTTTTTTGTATGTATACGAAATAATGGGTGGTTAATTTACTCCTTCGTAGCATTGTATATTATTAAAATAACTCACAAAATAATTGCGAAAACGTTGACTATATTTTAAGTGAGATCATAATAAACGGAATACATTTTTGAGAAAAAGTAATTGCAGAAATGTAAACCAGAGACATATGAAACATATGTTTGTATTTTACTAGTAAAACGGCATCAACAAGAACCCAAAAACTTTAAAAAGCAGTTCAGCCGTATATAATGTTTGGAATATTTCATATGATTTCCTTTATGACATATCTTATTACTTTCACATTACTGAAAGCTTTTACAACATGATTATAGATATTCTAAGTTGGTCAAAACTTTCTCCCTTTTTTTTCTAAAACAAAAATGTATAAAGAGATTGATTGTTACAGTATCATCACACCTGCAGAAATACAATAAGAAGTGGTATTACCCATCCAGCTTTACAAATATATTATTTATGAAGCATAGATGCTCAAGGATTTGTGTTCTTTAAATCCTTCTTTTTGGCTGATAAGACTTATTGATAAAGGTTTAAATTATCTTCTGTTGTGCAATTGTTGATTCCATATTAATCCATATTTGACATACTTTGTTTATTATTTTTTTATTATTAAATTAAGTATAGATGAGGAGGAAGGTAATTTTTTGTTGTCATTTTAAAGATTTGGATTTCCAATGTTATATAGAAAATTTCCACACCAGAAATAGAACTTAAATCTACCTTTTAATTTTTATCTTTCAAAGTCTGATCCAATCAGACAGGGGAAATAAGTTCCACACCAACGCGAAGAAATGTTCGTTACTCAATCTTGAAAAACAAGGGTTATATATATATGTGTCTCGATGCTCGATTTATAACTCATAATCAATAAATCCTATAACAACTATTTCTTTTTCCTTTTCTTTTTCTTTTCCTAATCGGCAATGGAATAAATTGACATATTGTAATTTACAACACGGGGGAACTAGCGGTAGAGTTTTAATTTGGACTATTCACAAGTACTAAGCTTAATCCTTCATATCAAAATGACATTGACTCTTTAAAAGTTCTATTTTACTAACTGAACTTCAAGCAGATTACGACATATGGTTTGAGAAATATTGTAACAACATGAAACAGTATTGAAAAATTATGCAATAAAGTCATAGAAATTTACACCATGACAATAGCATTACACTGAAGGTCAAACGTTTCTTCTTTTCAATAGATATTTGTTGATGAAGTTATAGTATTTGACTAAGGAGGGCTAAGATATCACGATGGTTCGTTTTAACTTTATAGACCCTCTTTTTATACATTGGAAATATGTTATATTTGGGTTTTATATAATGGACATTCCTCAAGATATTTAACTGCTCCTGTTTTACTGTATACTTTTTTTTATATAAGTGAAACATATTTAATCGTCCATCAGGTGAAAAAAGCCCACTTTAATACATCCCTGTAATAGCTATTTTTTTAAAAAATATATTTGGGTACACCTTAGATGTTAATCTCTCGTCATTTTTCCCGTGGTGATTATAATGTTTTACAAAGGCAGATTACATATGCTTTTAGCCAATGAGGAAACAGAAAATTTATAGTAATATAATAAAATTTGATAGTATTTGTTTTTTTGTGTATTTATTCCATTTCTTAATAAATCTATTCCTGCAGGACATAATTAGTTTTTATGTATGAGTTTCAGGAATGCAGTGGGATTTTCTTATAAAAAGATGCCAATTCCATATATTTCCAGCAAGACACGTGACGAAGTATTGGCTATAAAGGAAAACAATAAGAAAGTTTATCCAGCAAAGGCAAATGGTGGGTGTCTTAATATTTCTAGTGAATCAAAATAATTACCATGTCATGTTATTACATATATATGTGCTATTATTTCAGCATGCTAGTTCATTATTTAATTTATATCTTCAAATCTATTATTATTATTATTATTATTATTATTACTATTATTATTATTATTATTAATTTGTTTTTGTTGGTTTGTTGATAAGTTATCTGTTTGTGCATTGTCGAGAAAGGCGCGGTAACAAAAGAGGGACGAAAGATACCAGAGGGACAGTCAAACTCATAGATCGAAAACAAACTGACAACGCCATGGCCAAAAATAAAAAGACAAACAGACAAATAATAGAACAGATGACACAACATAGAAAACTAAAGACTAAGCAACACGAACCCCACCAAAAACTGGGGGTGATCTCAAATGCTCCGGAAAGGTAAGCAGATTCTGCTCCACATGTGGCACCCGTCGTGTTGCTTATGTTATTAACAAAATGATAATAGAGCATGGTTGGCTCCTTGAAGAATAATGTACTGGTTTCCTGGAACAGGGAAACTATACTTACTTAATTCCGTTTATATTTTTGTTTTGTTTTTGTGTTTTTACAGAAAATGTAGATGAGCACCTTCTTGATGTGGAAAACAAATTACAACAGCTTTTGTCGTCTGTGAGTTTTAATTACTATATAACAACGAGAGTTGCACATGATATTTCGAAAAATAAATTTTTTACAGTTGAGTCCTTATAGCTTTTGTTGCATGATTTATAATATGATCTAAGAATTACAGATGTAATTTAGCGAACGTGAAACTCGAGATTCTAAACAAGGGATTCTCTCTCGGACAAAAAGTGTCAACCAAATGCTAGATTTCGTTGTTGTTTTCTCTCTTTTTAAAAATGTTTATGTATTTCTGATCAGTCATTTTTGGAGGGATGCTATACGTTTCAAAATCAATATTCAAGAGAATAACATTTCAATATGATTTGATAATAAACCCTACTGTGTTTTTGGCCGACACTATGAGCCGATGAGCAGAGGAGTGATATGAAACTCATAACAAAATTTATGACGTATAGTAGGCTATAAAAGACTACGGAATGACAAAATTTTAAACTATTCTAAGGAGAAACCAATTGCCTGATTTATAGTACAGCATAGAAGGGGGGAAAATAGTGCAGAGACCAAGGACAACCTCTGAATTTCAAGTCCTGGCTTTGAACAAGCACATACATGTAAAGTATATTGCCAGGTTAAACATTATTGTGAACGCTTACCCCCCCCCCCCCCCCCCCCCCCCCGAACCTGGGACAGTGCTGTAACAACACAACCTAAGAGCAAACTTGAAAATCAGTTGATAACAGCTTGACTCGTCAGACTGATACTAAGGACAAAACAAATATCAAGAAGACAAACTTGTAATCACGAAGTTCCCGTCTAACAGTACTCGCAGGGGCACAACTTCAATACAACTTGTTTTAATTATTCAATGCCAAGTCGAAAAATATCCAGAATCACCAGCGGTGGTATCAAACAAATGGAAATATATAATACCCAATTTTATATACGTGTATTATCATCACGCTCGGGAACTCAGCGAGGTAAGCAGTTTTTTATACAAAACATTGAGAACGCAAACTTATAAACGTGATTTTCGTTTCCCAGTTGTTTTTATTGATGTAAGACCCTGTCATCCAACTAACATTTGGCTTTTGTCTTGTGATTTCAAGGTATACGTCATTAATTATGTTTTAATTTACTGAAATTTGTTTTTTTCTTCAGGAAAAATATAAAAACAAAGATGAACTAAAAAAAGAACTACACGCTTTGCAACTGTGGCTACCACTTGCAAAACTAGATAAATGTCATCTTTCCAAGATTAGTCTTATATATGAGCTCACGCAAGAGGTGAATTTTATTTATATGACAATTTATACCTCATTCTTTGTATTTAATATTTGTGAGTAAATAAGTTAGCGGATTAATATGTTAATGTTAAGTTGTCAACTGTCACTGGGTACTAGTAATTACTTATAACTGACTTGCAGCAACTTTGAACATACAATTATTTCATAGATGAGAACAGAAAAAGCATATTTCAATTATTATTTCTAGATGTAAGGTAATTTATTGGCCCCATCTCGCGTCTGACAACAGTTGCAAAAGCAATATTTCTCGATGTCCTACATTCCGTCGATGATAGATGAAGTTAAATCTACGTCCTAGGGTTTCTGATGAATAGTTAACGCATTGCCAAGCATACCACATATCATGTATTTACAGAGTTTTCATTTACGTACAGTATGGGGTTAAAGTCAATCAGACATCAAAAACTTTTTGTCAAACCATCATAGAATGCTATGAAACGTGTTTTAATTTATGATCAAGAAAAAGCATCAGAAGAAAAGCTTAGGATATTTCAGATTTATTTTGTACTTTATTGATTAAGAATAACTGTGAGGACTCTTAGATCGGTACTTTGTGTCTTTTGTCTTTTTGTTAGTTATTTTTTTTAGTGCTTCGTGCCGATCTGACTAGTTGATCCCTTTGCAACTGATTTTTCTAATTGTTCTTACGTTGTGTTGTTACACTACTGCCCAGGGTAATGGGTAGGGTTAAGCGAAAACAAACACGTTTAACCAACGCCACGTTCTTGTTTTAGTGCCAAGCAAGAGCCTATTTTCAATTCAGTGGATGTCGTTGTTGTTGGCTGTCATATTAGTTTTATCGAACATCAGACCGTTTGTGTTCTCTTTTGTATTGATTCACATTTTGCCATTGGGTTTAATAGCCAACTATACGAAATAGGTTTTGTTCATTGTGGATGTCGTACGTATACGTTGGCCTGTAGCTTTCTTTTTCATTGTGGATGGTCGTACGTATACGTTGGATTATAGCTGTCTTGTTCATTGTGGATGGTCGTACGTATACGTTGGCCTATAGCTGTCTTATTCTTTGTGGATGGTCGTACGTATACGTTTGCCTATAGCTGTCTTGTTCATTGTGGATGGTCGTACGTGTACGTTGGCCTATTGCTGTCTTGTTCATTGTGGACGGTTGTACGTATACGTTGGTCTATAGCTGTTTTGTTCATTGTGGACGGTTGTACGTATACGTTTGCCTTTAGCTGTCTTGTTCATTGTGGACGGTCGTACGTATACGTTGGCCTATAGCTGCCTTGTTCATTGTTGATGATCGTACGTATACGTTGGCCTATAACTGTCTTGTTAATTGTGGACGGTCGTACGTATACGTTGGCCTATAGCTGTTTTGTTCATTGTGGACGGTCGTAAGTATACGTTGGCTTATAGCTGTCTTGTTCATTGTGGACGGTCGTACATTATACGTTGGCCTATAGCTGTCTTGTTCATTGTGGATGATGATACGTATACGTTGACCTATAGCTGTCTTGTTCATTGTGGTTGGTCCTACGTATACGTTGGCCTATAGCTGTCTATCTTCTCGTCCTTTGGTTTTTGGTGGAAAGTTGTCTCATTGGTAATAATACCTAATCTTTTTTATTTTGTAATGTTCATTTTTTTTGTGTATTTTTTAGGTTCAGAAAAATTTTGATTTGACACTTGTTGAAGGTATTTGTATACTGTTCACAAATGTAAATATTTGCTTCAGTTTTAACATTTGATGAAATCTGGCTTTGCTTCTTATCTTTATTCTAACAGCAAGTAATCTCTACATACGTAAACATTTTATTTTATATGTGACAATTATTCTACTAAAAGTATTGGAAATTTATGTTACTAAAACCTTAATAAATAAGGCGCAGAAGACCAAGAATCAAGCCCCCTATAAAGTCGGGATTTAATCCGCTGTCCAAGAATCTCTTCAAATCATCCATTTTTTTCGACTTAAACATTTCTTAAACAAACATACCATGTTCAAGGAGGTGTTTTTGAAAAAAAAATACCAGTCGAGAGAAGGTAAAATTTTCTGAGCACAGAGGCGAAGAAAATTTCTTCTAAACACTGGTATTTTCCCTGTAAATCTCCCTCCTATAACATACTATATATGTTTTTAAATACACCGAATACCACGGTTAAATTTGATTCCTGTATTCTTTCGCCTAAAGAAATAAACAAAAACATCCACTTTAGGTGAAGAGTTAGAAGCAATACCGGTAGCCCGTAATATGCTGTGAATTTAGATACGCATACATGCAGGTAACTGTTAATCGTACATATAAGTTTGCGCTTTTGACCTTTAATTGTTTTGCGCTTTTAATGCATTACTGTTTTAATTGTACTGTATCATAAAAAGTTAAAATACAACAGCAGTAAAAAGCTGATAAACATGTAATTCAGACAAGAAATAATGAATCAATTGCCGTTGAAAAATTCCAGAAAAATGAAAAAGAGAACTAAGACGTAGCGACCATGGTTGTGTGCTCAGCCAAAACATACAGTCTTCTATATCCGTTTAAAATGGGCCATTAAACAACTAAATTTACTTTTACCTAGCCAGTATTACTTGGCAGAATCGAATGCTCAATTTTGGCGCAAATGATAATAGGTAGTTTGAAAAACGTTTGACCTAGAATAGATATATACAACTTAAAAGCATTAGTACCAGATATATTTCAAAATTCACATTATCCAACGAGTACCTCAATTTATGAACAACGATTTAACCAATATAAATCACGACAATGTTAGTGTTTCTTATATTTGAAAGTTTTACCAATTAACACATAAACGAGTAGTTCAACACTATTTTTTATACGCCAGTCAAAGACGGAAGGGTCATGATTTACTGTTTACGCCCGTATATATGTCCATCCATCAGTCAGAAGTAAAATAACAAAAATAACTCAAAGGAAATTCAGAAAGATTAAGACCACTTCTCGCGATTACCGAAGCATGCTTCCACAATATCATTACCAACTTTTATAAATATGAGGTTCCATAGAACCAAGATACCTTCGAATAAATTTGATGATTTTCATAGTCCAGAGTTTTGGACTTTTATCGTTTTAAACCAGGCATTTTTCACAATGCTTATCAAAAACTCTGGTATGCGTTCAGGAATGCTTATGACATTTTAAAACATTGTTGGTTAATAAGTCTGGTATCTTTGAGGAGTGTTTACAACCATTTGATCAATGAATTGCTTGTGGAAGTTTCGTTCTGGCGGGTATCAACAACACAGCAGTCATGAAATATCATTGATACGGTCATTTTCTGCAAAGAGGACAAAATTTGTCAAAATTTCAGTTTGAGGTATCTTCTGGCGTTAATATTTTGTTCATTCTTTTTAAACAAGTCATAGTATTGTTAGAACCTCGGAGAACGCATAAAGAGCTGTGCTAATCCGAATTTAAGAATTAAAATCTTTTTGATACTGGCTCCGGTGTTAAATATACTCGGTGGGAAATTCATAAAAATTACAAAGTCCGAAGTACGCATTTAATTAACCTTCATTAAAAGATTCAAAGAACTGATTCTAAATACAAAACTGCAACTAATGCCACTAAAAGTTTAATGGTTACTAGCGAAATATATTGAAATGTTTCCCTTATATGTGATCATTCACGAAGGAGTTGTCCCCAATGACTAGTTACACATTTTAGAGTTTTGATCATTTCACTTGGCAGTACGACAGGTGCATGTGGAACAAAATATGCTTTTGTGCTAATACAATTGATATAAGCTTTTGATCATCACTTTTTGCATCCCTGTCTAGTGCTTATATACTTTTGCGTTAACTATCAAACTACAAATTTTATAAAAGCTTTAACGTACTTACTAGATTCTATTCTTCGTTGTTTCAGACGCCGAAATATATAAACAGTCTTCTAAGTGTCTACCACCAAGATCACACACAGTTTCAGATAATCGCTGTTTGGTTGACAAATCTCAGGTAAAGAATTTCAGCATTTTTATACATGCGTTTGCAAATATTAATTTAAAAGAATCACTAAGAATATTATCCCTATTTGGGCCATTTTTGAAAAAAAGGGTGACGAAATACCAAATCGCGTTAAAAAAAACATTACATTTATAAAAAAGGACAAACCATTGGAAAAAATGAAGAACTACGAAAAGACAAACAGCAGTCTACAATATACAGAAATCTCAAGATAGTTTTTTGGGAAAACGAGTCCAACAAAACCCCGATGTGATCTCTGGTGCTCTGGAATGTAAGTTCCTATATTCTTGTTCCACTTCTGGAACCCGTAGTTTTTTTCATGGTAAACAAACATTCGGTGATGTTATAATCGAGGAAAATGGGATATGAGTGTGGCTACGACAAATGAAACATTTCCGTGGTTGTCTGTGACAGTGTCTTGTTGAACGTTATTTATCTTTTCATAACTGTCGATCATATCATGATGGCGTCCGTAAAACCTTCGAATGGATGACTTCAATTTTAACATTGAGGACCATTAGCTCTAGTGTTTCTTTGTATTGGGGTATTTATACCTCATTGGCTTTCAAATGTTTGGGTTTGAGCATTCTTGCTGAAGGTAAATCTCGAAAAGCTCTTCGAACACACGAAAATTAAAAAGTGTTATTTTCATTGATATGAAATACACGCACTGGAAGTTGTCATTTTAAGTATTAAACAATTAAAGTTGATAAGAGAAGAATTTAGAACTGAAAGGTAGTTTTGTTGAGGCATTAATTCTACGGTTTCTTATAACATGGAGTATGAATAAGATTCATGCATATTATTAAAAGAACAAACACAAAATAATTAACATTTTTCAAGTGAGTTGCAACCTTAATTTTGAAAAATAAATGTTGACCTGTGTGACCTAGTTATTTCGCGCCTACTTGTATAAAATTGAAGTATATATTTGATAAACTTCCTTATGGCTGTGTGTATTTGGATTTGACACTCATTTTTGAGTACTTTTAAAGCTTACCTTATCATAAATGTGTCTCTAATTAATATCATTATTTGAAATTCTTTAGAAAATACATTAATAAATTTGGCATATCCTTGCGAATGAAATAGATGCATTAATTCAGAAATTAATAGTTAAAAAATGGTCTGATTAAAAAAAACCCAAACCCATACATGATTATGTTTAGTAAGATTTGATTGATGTAAAAATTCGAACAGTCAAAGAAGTTAAACTAAGAGGCTGGAGTCGGTTTCACTAAAAAACTTACGACTCAGATTGATCGTAAGTATACTGAATTGTTCATGACTTACGTACGATCAATCTAAGTCGTTAAGTTCTTTTTGTGAAACTGACTCCAGTGCCCCAGATTCTTCTTAAGTAAAATGAAAGGATGTTAATGCAACAAAAAAGCAAATGTAATTGCCAAGCGTCATGTGACTGCGTCTCATTGGTGACACCCTTTGTCTCCTCATATTCCAATTTGTTCTGTTGATAAACATGTCTTTATAGACAACTCAACATTTGAACATTGTAAACTTTGCAGCCACTAAAGTATGATTATGAGGATTGAATCTCATGTTATCTGTTACACTGAAATTCATTTATGTAAATGCAATAACATACCAAATATCATTGGCCTTGTTTACAGCAATACTTTTTAAACACACCTTCTAAAAATCTTAACATTTGAATAATATAAATATTCCATACTTACCTTCTTTCTTTACCCTGTTTGTACTTACATTAGCAACACGACGGTTGCCACCAGTGAAGCAGGATCTGCTTACCATTCCGGAGCATCTGAGATCACCCCCGGTTTTTGTCGGTGCTCGGGTTGCTCAGTCTAGTTTTCTTGTTGTGTTGTGTTTTGTTTACTGTTGTTTGGCCGATTTTCGTTTTTTTGCCATTGAGTTGTCAGTTTGTTTTCAACTCATGAGTTCGAATATCGATTTGGTATTCTTTGTCTCTCTTTTACTGTTACATGGCGTAGGGGACAGAGCATCATAATCTGAATGTAACACCATGCATATTATACAAACATGGTATACCATACATCTATACTACTAAAATGACGAAGTCCAATTTGTTAGCCGGCATGACGTAAAAACGACTTATGTTCTAATTCGCCAGACTTAAACGAACATAAATTATTTATGCAATAAAACTCAACACATGTATCAGAAATGAGCTCTCCTTGTGAGGGTAGCATACTTTTTATTAACCAATGTATAATATAAATCAAACAGTTCGTTTCAAAGTTCATTTTAAGCACATTACGGCTTAATCTCAGTCGTTATTAATTAGGTATAAAAACAGTCATACAGGCTCGATCACAGTCAGCCAACCATTAATACATACAAATATACACCAATCTACAAAACAAGAAATACAACTTAATAAATCATTATAAGTAAAACATTACTTTCCACATAAAAACAATAGATGGTCTTGATGATGGTGGGGGGTGAGGGGGGGGGGGGGGGGGGGGGCTTAATACAGGCAAGGCAGTAGTACGGCGTATGCTACTCAGCGTAAGGCAGAACTTCGAATAATAACATTATAAATTACATTTAATTTATATCAAACAGCAAGCACGAGAAACACGAGCCAAAATCATACGATACATAGAATACCTGTTTTAAATTCGCAATGCGACGAATTTCATCCAATGGAATATATTGTAAACATTACAGGTATTCTAAAAACATGTGTTGATGTAAACAAACACACGTGTTTTACCAAAACATATACATGTGCTTCCGTACTATTATTAAATATATTTATGTTCTAATTCGCCAGACTTAAACGAACATAAATTATTTATGCAATAAAACTCAACACATGTATCAGAAATGAGCTCTCCTTGTGAGGGTAGCATACTTTCGAAAGTAACAAAGAAAGAAAAGGGGGAGGGTCATATGCCAAGGTTTTTAGAAACTGTTAATTTATCTGATATGTTTTCCTGAACATACCCATCTTTTGCAGTTTCAGATGCCCATCTCCCATGTTTCTTGAATAACCTGTCATTTATACCAGAAGCGGCTGCAGCCGTCGCACCACCTGCTCTCAAACTGTGTAAACCAAAATTAGATTTTTCTAGACCTAAAGATCCAAGAGCGTCTAACAACAACTCTCTAGCCCTTGTATAAGATAGAGGAGTAATTCCTCTTAAAACATAAGTGTTTGTTTTCTTACGAAAAGTTACTGCTCTAAAAATGAATTCGTTAGAATCGATTGCTATGTTAGCTTGTGATAAATATGTGTGTAACATAGATACCGGACATGTCATAGAACTAGTCTTCGAAATCAACACTCTACTACCTTCTCTGTGTTGGTCAGTCTTACTTTTTTCGATAAATAAAGATATATAAGTAGGATAAAACTGTATATCTGATCTTTTCAAATTAACAAGTTCGGAAAATCTTAAAAATCCTGCATAACTTGTAAGACACATACAGGCGATTCTTCTATGATTTAAAGTACTGAATTTGTTACCGTATTTTTGTACAATCTGGTACAGAATTTCAGGTGTAATAGGCTCTTTCTTTTTTACAATGTAATGCCCGATTGACCTATGAACTCCTTCTTTAATAGATGTACATAAAAAAGAATTACAAGGATCGGCAAATCCAGCTAGTTTATGTGACCAACTAATTGCATAGTAAGCTCCTTCAACTATAGATGCGGATTTGTGTTTTTTACATAAATGAATCAGGTATAACGAAACATCATAGTCTGATGCTGGTAAAGAATTAAGATTAAATGAATTACACCATCTACAAAAATTGTTAAAGGCGTACCTGTACTTCTTCCGAGTGCTTTCAGCTCTAGAGTGAAGACAAAATTCTGGAAGACACTTTGCTAAATTTTGTAATGGCTGGTGTGGTGAAAGAATTTCTGATGACCACCTACCAACGCTGAAAATATCTGAAAAATGTAAAAATTCAAACAGATAGTAAATAAAAAAGTATATAATACATGACAAATGCGTTTAATATATAATCATTACTGACCTTGCTCCGTACTATAGCCTTGTCAGATTTCTAAAAAAAGACCTCGCTATCATTTCTATAGCCTTGTAAACATGTGTCATGTCTATGTCACAGTAATACAAAAACAGTTATCTACATTGTTCTTAGCCTAACAGCTAAAATATCAGAATTAAAATTCTTAGAGCCAAAAATCGAATTCTTGTTGTTCCCTTGAAGAAATATGCGTTGTTCACTGGAAAATTCAATTACTTCCAATACATAATGACGAAATTCCATGTTTCTTCTAAATAATAAAGTCCAAAACGATGAAGACGGCCATTTTGGTACTATCAGGGTACCTTCGGCTTTACAGAGTACTAAATGATTTATACTTTTAGTAACTAAATCAATTGGAGGGACTATCCAATTATTTTCATTTTTCCAATTTTGTGTAAAAGCATCAATAGCTTCACTCCCGGGATTCCAAAATTTTGAATTAAATCGCTTCAATTTTGTATTAGCAAAATTGGCAAATCTATCAACAGTATAAGGACCCCAGAAATTATCCATGAATTAAAAAAACTCCGGAGATGTTTGCCAGTCATCTATATCTATCATTTTAGACAAAAAATCAGCTCTACAATTTTCTGATCTAGGTACCCATATTGGATGTACAATGACTCCTTCCTTCGAACAAAATTTAAAAATGTCATATGCAAAACACTGTAAATGCATCTTGGTGCTACCTCTATTGATTATTTTTACACAGTTTTGATTATCGGTGTGCCATTTGACAGTACTGTTTTTTAAAACAGATTTAAATGAATACAAAGCTAATTGAATAGCCCTTAATTCTCGCCAGGTCGAACTCATGTTTTTCTCATATTCGCTCCATGTGGAATGAAAAACTTTTTCATTCAACTCTACAGTAAAAGCACCTGCGGCTACATTACTAGCATCTGAATACACCACTATGTTTGGTAAGGTGTCATTCACAAAATTCTTCTGATTAAGATTTGTCAAACTGTCTGACCAAAATCTCAACTCTGCTAATACACACTCAGTGTAAGCAATATTTAAATTACCATCCCATGATTTTCTGTTCTCAATTGCAAAATATAAATGCCTTGTCATTAGGCTTGTGACATTGCCCATAACTGGAGACATAGAAATAATTCTACCTGTGAATTGTGCTAACTGACGAGCACTTATAATGGGAAATTTATTCAAAATATTGTCAAGCGATTCTTTTGCATCATTTAATCTACGTTCAGACACTGCTAAACTAAAGCTTTTCGAATCCCATAGTAATCCTAGCCATTCCAAGCGTTGAACTGGATCAAAAACAGATTTTTGTTCATTTATCAAAAATCCAGCTAATTCCAATGAGGACTTTACGAATTCAGATATATTTTGACATTCTAAATACCCATCTGACATACCTAAACCATCATCTAGATAAAGCACTATATCTACACCGTTTTCACGCCAGTATTTAACCATAGGTCGTAAACATTTTGTAAAAATGTAAGGCGCTGAACTCAAACCAAAAGCTAAAACTGAAAAGCAATAAAACTTTCCGTTCCAAGAGAACCCTAAATATGTATGTTGCTCTTTGCAGATGTCTAAATGAAAATATCCAGATTTTAAATCAAATTTAATTAGGTATGGATCTTTTTTAAAAAATTGTTGAGCAACTTTCCAATCTTCGAATTTTATTTTATTTTTCAAAACGTATAAATTCAATTCAGATAGATCTAATATCAATCTCTTTTTCCCGGACTTTTGAATGGCAACACTTAATGGATTTACTACAAAAGGCTGGAATGGTACTTCGTGTACGCATCCGTTTTTCGAAAGTTCGAGAACAGCTTCGTTTACAAAATCAGTATTATCAACTGCAGATTTATTATTGCGGAATTTCATAGGAGGTGGTAAACTCACAAAAGGAATCATATAACCTGATTTTATAGTATTAATTATAAATTTGCTTGCTCCAATGTGCTCCCAAAAAGCTACATTTTTAGATAAACTACTTTTGACGCCTTTGGCTAATTTGGAAAAATCAACTTTATCAAAATACTTAACATGTTCGAAAAGTATATTCATGTGCCCATGCAACAAATATTCATCTACTAAATTAAGAAACTTATCTTTTATCTTATGTTGCTGGGTTGTTCCTTGGTGTAAATTGCTTGCTGCTTCTATTGGGACAGTTTGTCCTCCAGTGTCCAAATTGGTGGCATTCATAACACATGTCATAGGAAGTCGCCTCTCGGCGACTGTTCCTCCGAAAGGGCGGCTGGTTGTACTGTTGAAGAGGCATATCTGCAGTATTAGTAGGAGGTCTGGAAACAGTAGCTGAAGGCTTAGCGTAAGGTTTAGTACGACTTTTCTTCTCCTTGATGGTTTTGAGAGCTCTGCTTTCAGCTTGTCGGAGTCTTTTCTCGTCATCTGAATCTGATGCTATTTCGTCACTCTCGTACTCGCGAACTGTGGTCCAACCAGCAGGAGATTTATCGGCTATTCTGATGAGCTTATTTCTTTTGTTCAACTTTAAGATAAGTCCAGAAATTAAATTTATAGAAACAAAATCTTCCTTCGAAAAAACGTTTTTGCAGCTTATGTAGGTCAGCAAGGACTTCGGAATTGAAAGAAAATTGGATTTGATTACCTTCACTCTTTAGTTTCACGGACGCTTCCTTTTTCAACTTAGTGGCTAAGGAGTCGTTGCCCGACACTAACTCGTTCTTCAATGCAGATATTTTAGTATCGAAGTACGACGTAAAGAGTTGAAAAGTGCTGTCACTTATTTGTTGCTGTGGCGCTGTTTGCTGGGTTGCTGTCGACGGTACTGGTATAGGCAAACTAGGAAATGCAGCTTCTCTGTTAAGAACGACAGGAGTTGTAGACTCGTGTAGTAGTAATTCGTCTTCGTCTTCGGAACGGTGGTCTGTCATGGTTAATACAGGCAAGGCAGTAGTACGGCGTATGCTACTCAGCGTAAGGCAGAACTTCGAATAATAACATTATAAATTACATTTAATTTATATCAAACAGCAAGCACGAGAAACACGAGCCAAAATCATACGATACATAGAATACCTGTTTTAAATTCGCAATGCGACGAATTTCATCCAATGGAATACATTGTAAACATTACAGGTATTCTAAAAACATGTGTTGATGTAAACAAACACACGTGTTTTACCAAAACATATACATGTGCTTCCGTACTATTATTAAATATATTTATCAAAGAATTCAACATTAAAAATAACATATATAGGACAATGGTGTTGTTTAAAAGGCCCTTTTGTTTTCCATATAATTAACCAATATCTAACAAGTTCCGAGTCGAATCCAATACCGATAACAATAGTATATGTCACATGTAGTTTCCGGTTGTTACCTCTTACCTTCTGCAAATCCTTCCTCTATCAGGAGAACCCTTAATTCTTCCACTAGTTGTTTTATTTCCATATTATACTATAGTTCTTTATTTAACAAGTCTGTTTTCTTCCACCTCAATACCACTACTAATTTTGGTTAATTAGTTAAAAATCAAAATTACAGGACGGGTTCAAACAGAAAGATTTTGAAACCTTACAATCAGCATGACAATACGAATACTAAAAATCTAGGCTAAAAATGAGGTATGGGTACTTTAATTCAGTCACGGACCTGCGATGTCGCGGGTGTGTTCTAGTATTCTTTAAAAACACGTCATACAACTAATAATTGAACTATGTAAAACTTCCCAAATCTCTAAGGCATGACTAAAGACAATAGTCTTATATTCCTGCGAAACTGAAGTTCGTGGATGAAACACAAAAAAGTGGTTTATCATCAAAGAGAGGCGAAAGATACCAAAGGGACATTCAGAAGTCGAAAGCAAACTGAATATGCCATGGCAAAAAAATATATTTGATAAGAAAACTTGACATTTACCTTAGAATAACCGAGAGGTGGACTTGAATATAATTTTACAATTGAGATACATTGATGTTGATGCAACAGTTTCAATGATGAATCATTAGTAATTATACAGAAGCAAGAAAACTTAACACAAATGTTGCAGATGATGACCTCGCTAGAAATAAAAATAATATATATATGTCTTCCATCACGAAATTCGTTGCAAGCCAGGAACATATGACAAATATTGTAAACATCAGACCGTTAGTTTTCTCGTTCGAATTTTTATACATTTGTCATTTCGGGGCCTTTTATAACTTACGCGGTAAAAGTTTGGTCATTGTCATGAGTTTTCTCATTGTCAGTCTATCACATCTTCGAATTTTTTTATGAACGAAATAAAGACAATGGAAAAAAGTCAATCAGTAGTGGTTTTGTCAAAGTGGCAGTATTATGACTGCAAAACTTATTGGTTTTGCCGCGTTTTGTGCACATTTTGAGGAATTGCTTCATGGCTCTGGTACCATTATATAGTAAGAGCGTTTATTTCCAATATGTGTTCCGTAATCAGTTAGAATTCTAAAGTACAACACACCGGACAAAATATCGTTATAATAATCCATAATTTTTGGTTGATTTCTTGATTGACAACATATTTGTTATTTTTGAGAGGACCTGTTTTTCAACAAACAATCGGCATTCCCATGGGAACCAACTGTGTCCCTCTTCTTTCTGACTTGTTCCTTTATTCGTATGAGGTTGACTTCATACAGGAACTTCATAGGAAGAAAGAAAAGAAGTTAGCAGTATCCTTTAACTTTATTTTCCGCTATATAGATGATGTCCTCTTACTAAATAATTCAAAATTTGGTGACTATGTTGCACGCATCTATCCCATCGAACTTGAGATAAAGGATACAACAGATATAGTTAAGTCTGCCGCATATCTTGACTTATATCTAGAAATTGGCAATGAGGATCGGTTGAAAACAAAACTTTACGACAACAGAGATGATTTCAGCTTACCAATTGTGAACTTTCCATTTCTATGTAGCAACATTCAAGCAGCACCTTCATACAGAGTATATATCTCCCAGTTGATACGATATTCCAGGACGTGTGTTTCATATCATGATTTCCTTGATAGAGGGTTGCTACTCACAAGGAAGCTATAAAGCCAAGAGTTCCAAGTGGTGAAATTGAAATTATCCCTTCGTAAATTTTACGGACGTCATCACAAGTTGGTTGACCGTTATGGAATATCCGTTTCACAGATGATATGTTCCTAATGTCGTAACTACAATCCCGTCCCCTTTTCCCGAATATGACCTACCGAATTAGACTTATTACCGGGTTTGTACTAACATGAGCAACACGACGGGTGCCACATGTGGAGCAGGATCTGCTTACCTTCCGGAGCACCTGAGATCACTCCCAGTTTTTGGTGGGGTTCGTGTTGCTCGGTCTTTAGTTTTCTATGTTGTGTTTTGTGTACTATTGTTTGTCTATTGGTCTTTTTCTTCTTTTTTAGCCATGGCGTTGTCAGTTTATTTTCGACTTATGAGTTTGAATGTCCTTTTGGTATCTTTCGCCTCTCTTTTGTAATTATTAAACGATCTTAAATGTGTCCAAT